AGTACTACAGTAGTACTACAGCAGAGCAGAGGCAGCACGTCAGTGTTGTAGTGCAAAGATCCAGGAAGCGACCGTTTGTGTGACCGCAGGTCTTCATGGCGAGCAGCAGGCACGCTCTGGATTTCAGACTCTGTTTTCGGCACATCTTGGCACCATGTCAAGAGTCACCTCCATGCATAGATTTATAGACAAGAACGGGGGTCATAAAATGTGTCCTACAACTAATAGGATGGCAGTATATGGATTTTAAAACAGCAGTAATATGATCTAGTTAAAACTGGCAACAGCCTTCTGAATCAAGTGTAATTTATTTACAGACTTTCTGGAGAAACCTGAGCGCGATGCATTATAGTTGTCAGCTGTACTTCTAATGAAAATGTGTAACAGGCAGCGCCGGCATGATGGAGCAATGCATGACTGTACTAACTCACTAACCACATAACAGTTACGATTCTGTCATGACTTGCATTACAAAGGCTCTTCAATTATGATGATCGATGGATTGAAGAAAATCATCAATAATTCTTTTCCTTGAACAGTAATCAGCTGACTTCAGCTCGTGGACGTGGAAAAAGGTTCAGGTGTACTGTGATGTGGAAAAGTTTCCCCCCTTCCTGATGTCTTCATTTCCTTTGTTTGTTTTTCGTATTTGTCGCACTCACACACTTGTTTCAGATCATCAACACATTATGTCGTAATCTGCTGAGAAACAAGTCGCTGGTATCTATCCGTCTGGACAAGGTTACAGAGGCTTTGTGTCTCCACTGAGCCACAGTGAGAGTCTTTATCCACACATGGAGAGAACCTGGAACAGTGCTGAAGCTAGAGCAGGGCGATATGGCCAGAAAAATATTTATCACGATATATATTTGAAAATTTGCGATAACGATATAACTGACGATATAATTGATGCGAGAAAAAATACAACTCCACAACATTACTAGCGCAAAAAGACAACCTTAACTCGGTTTCCCTGGGTCTTTTCCCGTGTTGTAGTTGTGTGTCTTATTTTGAAAGAAATATTTGCGTTACCATAGCGACCTGAGAGGAGGATGTTAGTCTCAATGTTGTTGGTGCATTTCTGGAGGACGCTGCTAATAAAGTTACACAACTACTCAGTGAATTCACGTTTATTATTATATTTACAAAATCCCACAGTTTTTGTCTCGGTCCTATCATTTTATTTTGTATTTATCCGCCACACCTTAAAGGCCGGTCCGTGAAACTAAGCGCTGCTGTACAGAAACATCTGTGCCACATATGGACTATGTGTCTCAGATGTTCCCAAGTCCCGATAGGAGACGCCACCAAAGGTGGTCGAGAACAACAGTCCAAAGTCCCGGGGGGGGGCTTCAAGTTTCAGACAGATAAGCAGCTCATTGTCAGCCAACCAGGCATAGTGGCAGCTGACAAGGAGCAGAAGACTGTAGTTAATATAGACGTGCAAATCCCAGCAACATTAGAGAGAAAATAAAGGAGTACCAGGGGCTGAAGGAACAGCTGGAGCAGATGTGCAAAGTCCAACGTGGGACCAATGGTGACAGGAGCATTAGGAGCGACCGAGTTGGGAGTTGGTCTTGTAATCGGAAGGTTGCCGGTTCGAGCCCCGGCTCGGACAGTCTCGGTTGTTGTGTCCTTGGGCGAGACACTTCACCTGCCGCCTACTGATGATGGTCAGAGGGGCTGATTGCCTCGCTTCTGTCAGTCTGCCCCAGGGCAGCTGTGGCTACACCTGTAGCTGCCTCCACCAGTGTGTGAATGTGAGAGTGACTGAATAGTGGTATATAAATGCAATCCATTATTATTATTCTAACCCAAACAGTGGAAGTGCAGCTCCAGCAGATTGCAGGTACGAGACCTCTGATGGGCTCCATCAAGAACAGCTAAGATACAAACATTAATTAAGTGAACATTAAAGTAATTCAGTTGTCAAACGATTGTCTCGTGATTTTTCCCGTCACGCTTTTGTCTGTCAGAGCCAATTCTAACTGTCTGAATGGCAAACATGTGGCCAGTATGAGTTAATCTGGCTGCACCCCAGTATATAAAAACCCATAAACCAAACTCCAGAATACTTAAGACTCTACCTGAGTCAGCCGACCACTAATTAATAGCTTGCAATAAAAGCCGTCTGGCAGCTTGGAGTTTCTCTCAAATTGTTGGCCAGGCGAGGGACTAATTAATGGGGGACACAGAGTTTAATTAGGGAAATATAGATGATTAACATCTTCACCTTTCCTCAATGACAGGATTCAGGCAGAAACTTTTAGAATAAAAGAGAAGATACTGCAGAAGTAGATCCACCGCTGCCTAAACGTGGTCCATGAAAAGAAGTACGGAGCAGGTGGATGTGCTGCTTTTAATCAACACACAAACAAACTCATTAGGAACCAGCAGGGCCACAGGATGGTATTTCTCTGTGCACTGTGGCTGCATCAAAAGAGCTTGTTTCCAGTGGTATTGTCGTGCATTATTATTATTATCACCACTTTCATTATGCATTTCACAAGTTTGAAGGTGTGAAGGACACTTACAAATCCTGACAGATGGTTCTTGGTAACGCTTGTTCATTTCTAGAAGATAAATAAATAAGCAGAAAGCTCCCTCAGCAGGAGCGCTAAAGATGGGTCGGGGGTGGGTGAGAGTGGCTCAGTAACACTGTGCCAGCCTCTCCGTGCGAGGGGGCGGTGGAAAGGTGCTGAGCTCTGCTCCCTGTGGAAACGTCACTGAATGCCAGAGGACGCGAGCTGTGCAGAACGGAGACTTTCTGCTGCTCATCTGACTCCAGTCAGACTGCAGATCGGTCCATGTTCAGTCAGTGTGCAGAAAGCTTGGAACATAGTTCATTTAAACCAGGCTGATTCGGTCTTTTCAAAGGAGTAAAAGAGTAAAAAAACTGATTGAAGAAGAAATGCCCCTCTTGATGTACATCAGTGCTACACTGATTTCTTAACAACCCTGTTTCCTAACTACAGGAGAAAGATGCACTATTTCCTCCAAGCAGACGGATCATCGGAGCAGCGTCGGCCACGGTGCCACTTTACAGTCAAACTACATTTTCATGGCTTGCAACCCAGCAGACAGCCAAAACAGGTACAGGTGAGGACGGATAAATTAGTGAGTGTACAAACATGCAGCTCTGTGCATAAAGTGCAAGCTTCCAGATGTCAGGCACATGAAACTGCCGACTGAAAACACACCAAGCAAAGACGCGGTGTGACAAATACGGCTAATCCACACTGCAGAAAACCACACTCTTCAACGTCTGTGGTGGACCTACAGCTTCCCACAGAGGACTTGTTAGATGACATAAAATAACAGAAACGCTGTCAATATGGAATCCACTTACTTTCTGCGATGATGGATCTTCCCGTCCAGTCGTCGTTAATCATCTGGATATTTCCAAAATGGACATCGCTAAAAAAGATGCGGTTGGCTCCAGCTGTCTCCTGACTGTAGTCAAAGGCCAGTGTTATGACATTCTTGAAAAAAGCGGGATTTTCAAAAGGCTGCACGGGTGAGTTGAGGTCATTTTCATCAGAAAGGTGGATGCTTTTCAGGATAGTCCTTTCAGAGTAGAGTAGATAACCTTCATAGCGCTCGCAGGCAAAGCCATCCTCTGCCAAGCGCCCGTGTGCACAGGAGCAGGTCCGGCGACCGCTGCCCAGGTGGAAGCACAGCTGCTGGCAGCCTCCGTTACTTCTGGCACAGGGGTTGGTGCCTTCAAAGCACAACATGTGTTTGATTAGTCACTGGCAGCCGTTTCTGCTGTGAGCAATCACGTTTAAATTGGCCCGCCTATACAAGTCAGATGAAAATCCAATCTACGGTCTGGGAGCCACAAATTTGCAATTCGATTGCATAAAAATCTACGAGCATAATACGAGACAGGAAGTGAAACTGTGCGGCTATAATGTTTGAAAACGCACCTTTTTCTCTGCCTCTGGTGAAGACCGTCACATCTTTCAAATTAACCCCTAGACCGCTCCTCATGGTCACAGCCTCACTGGGATCCGTCTTCAAGCCTCGTCGGATTGAACCGTTCGAGTGGGCCCTGAAAGTCAGGAGAGTCGGAGAAGAACAATAATAAGGTTCTCTGTGTGAGCGTGGCGGGGTGAAGGATGGGGAAGTTACACAGACATGCTGCAGGAGGCATCCTTTCAGCTGAAAACACTAAAACAAAACTCAGCACTGAGGACATTTTATACACATCAGAATCTACATCTAAATTCAGTTTTATTTCACTGTCATCATCACAGACTAGAGGGGACCGTGCTGCCGAACTTTGGAATAATCTTCCACTTGATATCCGCATGTCAGAATCCAATGAATCGTTTAAATCACTCTTTAAAACTCACCTGTTCAATGTAGCCTTTGAAGCTAATTAGTTTGGACTTCCACCTGGTCTGCATTTGTGTTACATAACTGTAGTTGTTACTGTAACCATTACTCTATCTTCTTTTCTTTGTCTATTGTTGGAATTCGCCTGCAGCACTCGTGTGAAGCACTTTGATGTCTTTTTAAATGTGCTATAGAAATACATTTTGATTGATTTTGTTTTTAATTTCAGACCTTTGTCAAACCCTAAAACAAACACTAATACTTGTCTGGAGTATTAAAAAAACAGGATTGCGCCTGCTGTGTAATATTTCTCCTTGGAAGCCTTGAAAGGAGGGGAAGGGCGCTGCCAGGTTACTATAAAGGCTTTGCAGGCAAATGCAAGAGTTTGCATTTGAGAAAATAACAAATTACCTGTCAGACCAGTAGATGTAAGGCCCAAACACGGCCACGGAGAACAGGTCTACGTTGGCCATTGACAGTACAATCTCCCGGCTCTCACCGGTCTCAAGGTTGATCCTCTCGATCTTATCCGTGCGTGCGTCGCACCAATATAATGTATTTTCCTGGAAGGTAATTTTAAAATGCATAACACAAACTGCAGCTCTTTGTATGGTTAAATGTTAGGCACAAGACTGTAAGGTGAGCAAGGAGACAGGTACTCTACATGATGTATTGTCTGTGTGCGACTGTACCTCATAGTCTATGGAAATTCCATTGGGCCACGTGATGCCCGAGCTGACCAGGGTAACCTGGTCTGATCCATCCAGGCGGGAACGGCCGATGCAGGGGTTCTGACCCCACTCGGTCCAGAACAGATATCTGCCCAGATACACCTCATTTATTATTTGAACTGTAGATTTTTAAAACATTTTTATCTTTGTTTAGGTAACATTTGCTTTGTAGTATGGTGCATATTAATGCTTAGAGCACATTTGGATACATTGTAACATGTTCTTATGCATTTATATAATTATCCTCGACAAAGCAAGCTGCCCTAAATGTCACTTTACTCTCCACCACTCTCTTAAAAGAGGTAAATTGTGGACAAGTATCTCTGAAATAGGTTGTATAATTAAAATAATGAGCGATCAGTATTATGAGGATGAACGTGAGCCACACTGGATGCTGGCAGCAGGCAGGACGGGTACAGCCTGCCATCTGCATGGCTCAGCAGAAGTCAGCACACTTGGCAACGTCGTGTCAGTAAGTGCTGCTTACTGGAGACTGACTGCTTTACTGTGCTGCTGTAAGTGAACATCCTTGGACATCTGAAGCTTTAGACGGATCCAAACAAGCCTGTCTGGCACACAGCAGCCACACCAGAGTCTAAGTCAGCCATTTTTTTCGCTCTGTGAATTTGATATTAACGGGTTCTGTGAGCTATGGTGGTATCACATAATAGGCTGACTGGATAAAGTGGCCACTGAGCGAATATGCGATGAGCCAGAATTGGCTTAATAAGACCTGGTTTGGTTTCTAGTTTTAGCAGCAAATGTATTTAATATATCTGCTGTTACAGTAAGTGGTTTCTAAAAGTATAGAGATGGCACTGATTGTAGGCTAAACAAACACACGCACAGAGTCATTTCCTACCCCTTCTGTGGATGTACAGCGATGGCTCTGGGCTGATCGAGTCCTTCTGATATGACCACTGAGCGATATGCACCATTCAGGCGAGAGATTTCAATTAGATTGAAACCGTGGTCTGTCCAGTAAAGGTTGCCTGTTTGGAAAGAAGCAATATTCATACATGTAATTAAAGTAGAATTCATCCTCCAGGACACAGAAGTTAAAGACACAGTTCTTTGCCTGCACTTTGTCACCAAAGCCTAATGGCTTTTGGCAATTCAGATCGCAACAATGACATCGACTCGGTGCTATAACTAGAGGCGTGGCACCTAAAGTGTGAATTTTCAACAATCGATACAAACTTGACAGCCTGTGGAAATGACTCCAGGGCTCCAGCAGTGACGGTACTAACCAGCGATCCAGTCAACAGCAATGCCTTCCACACGGCTGATGCCGGTGGTAATGACGTCCTCCCTCCAGGTCTGGTCACGTTTGGCTCGGGATATTCTGTTCAGTCCCATGTCTGTCCAGTACACAGTATCATTCCCTGCAAAATGCACCCTACGGTTAATAATAGGAGACGTGATGAAAGCGGCTGCCACAACAGTATCCGTGCCCTCAAACTAAGCAGCTCATGAAAGCACATTTTACTGTATCATGGCCCATTTCACCAGATTTTGTGTGACACAATAAAGCATGATAGCAGAAGCGCTAACAACTCAGGCACAGGTCCTTGTTGACATGCAGCTGCTGGATGGAAAAGGCAAATGTTGGGAAAATTTTACAGGGCAGAATACGGCTCCATGCAAAACACGGTGTTGGTAAAACTGTAACGGGCCCGTTATCATTTTACGGCGCTGTTAAATAAGCTAATAAAATAGCGTGGTTTGCCTTTTTTATACTCTTGTCTTCAAGTGGATCTTTCTGTATGATTGTCAGTTAGGCTGCACAGGTTGTTAAGAGGGTAGCTGGCGTTATATGTTTAATTGCACGTTCGTATTCCCACCGCCTTTACACTCTGTTAACACAGAGATGATATATGACATAACACAGCTGCAGGGATTTCATCTGTTCTGCTCCAGCAACCTCCATTCTCTATAATGACATGTAAATGTTATGTGTGAGCTATCAACTGCTGTTCTTGGATGGGCTTAGTAATACATTTGTGTGTTCACCTGTCCAAAATAATAAAGGTGAGGACCATCATCAATCTTGTTCTGTCCTTTAGTAATATCTCATTTTATATTCAGGTTATTTCCTCTTTTCCAAAAGTCGTGGTCACACTTCAAGATTTCCAACGACCCCTGAGGTCTCTCGGATTCAGAACGAGGTTTTAAGTTTTCAAGATAGTCGAGGGATGAGTCACTGACTTGTAACTACTGTATAATGAGGGACCTGACTTGGCTTTTTCCCTGCACTCAGACTTTTTCTTAAGTCTGCGAAGGTTCGCAGTTGTCCAGGTCATAGCCGTCTGAGGCAGTGTTTCCCAAACATAGGTGTGCTGTGAGAAATGATCAGGTGTGCTGTGGGAGATTATCTGGTTCCAACTCATTAGTACTCTAAGCGATCAGCGTGAATAATGGGTAGAACAATTATTTCTCTACCACTAGAGGGCAGAACAACCGGGAGCAGCCAGCCTACCAAAATGACTCCAAGAGTCCATCAACGACTCATCCAGGAGGTCACAGAAGAACCCAGAACAGACCTGCAGGCCTCAGAGTTCAGGGTTCAATGACAACAAAGAGCAGAAATGACATCTAGCTGCCAAGAGCGAAACAACCAGTTATAATGTTTATTGGGTCATTACTTTTTCACATGGGCAGGTTTAATCAGCTTTTTCAAATTAATCAATGAAATTATTTATCAATAGAAAATCATATTTTTTAAACCATTATGTAAAAACTCCATTTTGTATTTACTGTTATTTTTGTCTAATATTACAATTTGTTCGCTGATCTAAAACACTGCAGCAAACAGGAAGCCAACAGGAAGCAAACAGGAGGCAAACAGGAAGCAAACAGGAGGCAAACAGGAAGCCAAGAGGAGGCCAACAGGAAGCCAACAGGAAGCAAACATGAAGCCAACAGGAAACGAAAAGGAAGTAAACAGGAAGCCAACAGGAAGCAAACAGGAAGCAAACAGGAGGCAAACAGGAAGCCAAGAGGAGGCCAACAGGAAGCAAACAGGAAGCAAGCAGGAAGCCAACAGGAAGGGGCATGTACTTCTGAGCAGTGAGTTTATTGCACAAAAGGGCAAAACTCTGCAGAAACAGCTGCCCACTGCTCCTAATTCAACATCAGGCCTTTACAACCACCTGTAAAGATGAGCGATGTTGAAACAGAGCGCAGGCCGAGCACAGCAAGGACTCACTGCCTGAGTCACAGCTCACAGTATTACACATAACATGTAACATAAGTAAGAGGTTATGTGTAACGCATAACTAGATGGTTGAGGTGCTGCACTGCAATAATTAAACTAGAACCGCTCACCCCCATTAAATACTCATGACTGGTTTATGTTGTTATATACGCTCTTGAACCATGAAATAGAACTGGCAGCGTGATAATGTGACTGGAATGCCGCGCGTGGCATGACAGGAGCAAAACTGTCCTTGAGAACAATCACCTTTGTGGTGATCAAACTTGGAGCACCTCAAATACCAAGCAGATAATATTCTGAGCTAAAGTCCCACATTAAGTAACAGATGCATGAGCGAATGGTGAAAAGTGCATTATGAGAAAGACGACTGACCTTTGACACTCATCCAGGGCCAGGACGTGTGGGTGGTCCTCCTCTGAAAGCGTCACCACAGCTTGCCTACTGATGGCGCCCGCTTGACTCTGGTCCACAGTTTGTCTGGTGATGGTGGATGTAGTGGAGCTGGTCCAGTACAGAGTGTCCCAACCTTTGTGGTAAGCCAGACCTTCCACTGAACCCACATCTGAAACAAGAGAAACATCAGACCACGGAGCAACAAAGTGACCTGAATGAGAGTCGGCGTTACGAGTCTGCCTTTTTATTCTAGCGAATAACTGAGTCACATGGGAAAAAGAATCGTAGGAGAGCAAGAGCGCCCATCTAAAACATCACATAGAGTAAAACGAAAGAAATAATCACTTTGGAGCTGGCATTCATTACGTTTATTGTTCATTTATTTATCTGTAAATGCAGATTCCAGCTATATGCCGCTGTCATCTCGGGCTCCAAACCTCAGAGTTGTCTGTTGTGTATAAATGTGTGAAAGTACTGACTTTGCTTGTAACAGATGGCAGGCTCCAATTGTGTTAGAATTGGGATCGTGTTTCTTTTCTGATTGACAGGGAAATAACTTCATGCCTCACTACACTGGACAGACAGCTATTTGTTGATGCTAAAGTCACTCAGGAACCGAATGTGTTTTCATGGCAAACCAATTTCCAAAACATAGAATATGAAAAGACCTTTGCAGTCTCTCTTGTTATTGCATGAATATGACTGACAGAGATGGAACCTCCAGAGAGACGTGATTTTCAGCAGAGAATCTGGTCATGTTCATGTTTGATTACTCACTGCAGTTTTCTTTTTCTACCCTTCGATTTATCGACTGAATATGACTTTCAGCGTTTCTCAATATCACTATTGTGGAGAAGTAAGGTCACAATAACTGCATTGTTGATCTAAGTTATGAAAGTGATGAGAAAGATTTTAAAAACAAACAACAGCAAAAGCACCAGCAGAAAATATCCACCCATGTGTCCATGAGCCCACTTCTCATCAGTATATCCTGGATCCTCAACACAGACCATATTAAGGTGTGCAACATCCAAGGCACTAATGCTAGAGTGGTCAGTTTCCCTGGTAAGTCCCATACACATACCAAACACCAGCTATTGTTCTAAAGATCCAACCGTCAGGACTCAGGCTTCAGATCAGGCAAAGGTGCCCCGGAGACTGTCCAACAACACATAGCAGCAGGAAGTAAGGCTAGCTGGGGCCGTGTACACATAGAGGCTGGGATAGTGCACACCAGCGGTCCCCAACCCCCCGGGCCACGGCCTGGTACCGGTCCATGACTCGTCTGGTCCCGGGCTGTGAGAGTTGAGGCTCGGGTGTGAAATTTATGGTTTTCAGGGTTTTTATCGTTAACTCGGTTTCCTGTGATGTAGTTGTGTGTCTTATTTTGAAAGAAATATTTCTGCGTTACCATAGCGACCTGAGAGGAGGATGTTAGTCTCAATGTTGTTGGTGCATTTCTGGAGGACGCTGCTAATAAAGTTACACAACTACTCAGTGAATTCACGTTTATTATTATATTTACAAAATCCCACAGTTTTTGTCTCGGTCCTATCATTTTATTTTGTATTTATCCGCCACACCTTAAAGGCCGGTCCGTGAAACTAAGCGCTGCTGTACAGAAACATCTGTGCCACATATGGACTATGTGTCTCAGATGTTCCCAAGTCCCGATAGGAGACGCCACCAAAGGTGGTCGAGAACAACAGTCCAAAGTCCCGGGGGGGGGCTTCAAGTTTCAGACAGATAAGCAGCTCATTGTCAGCCAACCAGGCATAGTGGCAGCTGACAAGGAGCAGAAGACTGTAGTTAATATAGACGTGCAAATCCCAGCAACATTAGAGAGAAAATAAAGGAGTACCAGGGGCTGAAGGAACAGCTGGAGCAGATGTGCAAAGTCCAACGTGGGACCAATGGTGACAGGAGCATTAGGAGCGACCGAGTTGGGAGTTGGTCTTGTAATCGGAAGGTTGCCGGTTCGAGCCCCGGCTCGGACAGTCTCGGTTGTTGTGTCCTTGGGCGAGACACTTCACCTGCCGCCTACTGATGATGGTCAGAGGGGCTGATTGCCTCGCTTCTGTCAGTCTGCCCCAGGGCAGCTGTGGCTACACCTGTAGCTGCCTCCACCAGTGTGTGAATGTGAGAGTGACTGAATAGTGGTATATAAATGCAATCCATTATTATTATTCTAACCCAAACAGTGGAAGTGCAGCTCCAGCAGATTGCAGGTACGAGACCTCTGATGGGCTCCATCAAGAACAGCTAAGATACAAACATTAATTAAGTGAACATTAAAGTAATTCAGTTGTCAAACGATTGTCTCGTGATTTTTCCCGTCACGCTTTTGTCTGTCAGAGCCAATTCTAACTGTCTGAATGGCAAACATGTGGCCAGTATGAGTTAATCTGGCTGCACCCCAGTATATAAAAACCCATAAACCAAACTCCAGAATACTTAAGACTCTACCTGAGTCAGCCGACCACTAATTAATAGCTTGCAATAAAAGCCGTCTGGCAGCTTGGAGTTTCTCTCAAATTGTTGGCCAGGCGAGGGACTAATTAATGGGGGACACAGAGTTTAATTAGGGAAATATAGATGATTAACATCTTCACCTTTCCTCAATGACAGGATTCAGGCAGAAACTTTTAGAATAAAAGAGAAGATACTGCAGAAGTAGATCCACCGCTGCCTAAACGTGGTCCATGAAAAGAAGTACGGAGCAGGTGGATGTGCTGCTTTTAATCAACACACAAACAAACTCATTAGGAACCAGCAGGGCCACAGGATGGTATTTCTCTGTGCACTGTGGCTGCATCAAAAGAGCTTGTTTCCAGTGGTATTGTCGTGCATTATTATTATTATCACCACTTTCATTATGCATTTCACAAGTTTGAAGGTGTGAAGGACACTTACAAATCCTGACAGATGGTTCTTGGTAACGCTTGTTCATTTCTAGAAGATAAATAAATAAGCAGAAAGCTCCCTCAGCAGGAGCGCTAAAGATGGGTCGGGGGTGGGTGAGAGTGGCTCAGTAACACTGTGCCAGCCTCTCCGTGCGAGGGGGCGGTGGAAAGGTGCTGAGCTCTGCTCCCTGTGGAAACGTCACTGAATGCCAGAGGACGCGAGCTGTGCAGAACGGAGACTTTCTGCTGCTCATCTGACTCCAGTCAGACTGCAGATCGGTCCATGTTCAGTCAGTGTGCAGAAAGCTTGGAACATAGTTCATTTAAACCAGGCTGATTCGGTCTTTTCAAAGGAGTAAAAGAGTAAAAAAACTGATTGAAGAAGAAATGCCCCTCTTGATGTACATCAGTGCTACACTGATTTCTTAACAACCCTGTTTCCTAACTACAGGAGAAAGATGCACTATTTCCTCCAAGCAGACGGATCATCGGAGCAGCGTCGGCCACGGTGCCACTTTACAGTCAAACTACATTTTCATGGCTTGCAACCCAGCAGACAGCCAAAACAGGTACAGGTGAGGACGGATAAATTAGTGAGTGTACAAACATGCAGCTCTGTGCATAAAGTGCAAGCTTCCAGATGTCAGGCACATGAAACTGCCGACTGAAAACACACCAAGCAAAGACGCGGTGTGACAAATACGGCTAATCCACACTGCAGAAAACCACACTCTTCAACGTCTGTGGTGGACCTACAGCTTCCCACAGAGGACTTGTTAGATGACATAAAATAACAGAAACGCTGTCAATATGGAATCCACTTACTTTCTGCGATGATGGATCTTCCCGTCCAGTCGTCGTTAATCATCTGGATATTTCCAAAATGGACATCGCTAAAAAAGATGCGGTTGGCTCCAGCTGTCTCCTGACTGTAGTCAAAGG